GAGTCATAAATGTAAATAAACCAAATTTAGGGGTAAAAATAACATTTATTTTCAAATTAGACCAAAAATGTAAAATTTTCCAAAATTGGGCCAAAAGTGTAATTTTTTACAAACAAGGGGCTGAAAATGCACTTTTCTGCAAAACATGGTTCTAAATGCGAAAATATGACTTTTTGGGCTAAAACCGTAAATTTTTAGATATTTGGGACATAATTGAAAATTTTTATAAATTATGGACTAAAGTGTCATTTTTACAAAAATTTGGGTATTAACTAAAAATTGGAGGATTATTGGCCAAAAACGTCGTTTTTACAAAAAGAGGATTTTTATCATCAATCTATTAAATCTCGAGTTAAAACAAACAACGGAATAAAACAAACGAACGGAATACGTCGATAACTATTTATTGGGCCTAATATTCACGTTACTTGGCTATTAGGCCCTAAGGCCCCAATTAAGTGTACATTGAGTCCAATGTTTTCCATGACGTGTTTAGTGGGTCTTGCGACCCACTTACATGTTGATTTGGGCCTAAGTTATGGATTACATGTTTATTGGGCTTTTGTGGCCAATTTACATGCCTATTGGGTCTAAATTACCCTCTTACATGTTATTGGACCTTTGTGGTCTAATTACATGCTAATAGGGATTGAAATGGAAATTTCACATGTTAGTAGGCCGTAACTATACCTTTGCGTAATCATTAAACTTCATATACTTATATGTGTACCTTTCGAATACAAAAACATACTACATATACGTAAACATTAAACATAGTACAAAAGGGGTTGAAAATCTAGTGAGACATGTCGGTTGGCACCTCTGAGTGTACAATCGTAGCATGTAGTTATAATCAGAGTTTTCTGGTAGGAAAGCGGGAGTTTGTGTATAGATCTATACGGGGTGACCCCCCACGCCTTAGTTGTTCGCTACAGCTAGACTAGGCCAGTCTAGGGCGACAAAATCCTTAGCAAGACCGGCATTTGGAAAAATACCAAGACGGACGACCTATTCATTATCATGCATGGTTATAACGGCTCATATAGGGATTCGATACCAAAAGATTAATCTTTTGAAGATAAACTCTTTAATTGTGTCGATGCAAAACGCTTACTTAACGATACAAGAATCTAGATGTTATAAAACAGAAAATATCGGATTTTTTGGGGAAATTATTCATACACACTTATCATTTATTCAAAATACAATGAATCTAAACTACACTCATATAAGCTATATGTAGCACCTAGTTCCCGGTACGTACTCCTTGCTATTTACTTTCTTAAAATATTGTATTTTGCCTTGGACTTGGCGACTTGATGGGCCAACTCGTCGAGTAGGAATGGGACAAGGTACGGGAGTTGGACCTTGGACTCGGCGAGTCGGTCCCCAGACTCGGCGAGTAGGCCCTGGTTGGGCAAAAACCCTAATCCGGGTGTTTGCACCCTATTTAAACACTCTATCTTGGCCTCCTTTGTCCCTAACACTTCCAAAGAGCAGTAGAGTGAGACCCTATCCCCCCCCCCCAATATTGTTCTTAAGAGTGTTTTGGCCTTGTGAAGGAGGTTGGAGCTTAGAAGAAGAAAGAGGTGGTTAAGAGTGCAAGGATAGGAGTAGATCCAAATTCTACTCAGGGAGAAGCTTCCACTCAGGTAGAAAAGTCTCTACCTTGATCTTTAGATCATTAGTTACCATTTTTGTCCCAAATTGGTGGTTTTCAAGACCTAAAACACCAAACTCCATGTGTGGTGCTTAATGATCTGAAAGGACTTCTGATCTGGACTTATTGGATGAATTAGTAGCATAAAGTTCTTGTGGTTGAAGTGATTGAGGTCCCCATTGACTCTATGACCTCTTGAAGAGTTTGGTTTTGGCCTTTTGAGCTTATAGGGCCATGCATGCACGTAAAGTTTGCAACTTTACGTGATAAGCATGCTCAAGGAACATGGATCTACGGTTTTGAAGCGTTGCATGTCTCAGATTTGGCCTATATGGGAAATGGGTCATAGGGACTCGGCGAGTCCCAAGGAGGAACTCGGCGAGTTCCATGAAGATGGCCTTAGACTCAGCGAGTTGGATGAACAACTCGGTGAGTCCTATGAAGATTGTCTGGAACTCGGCGAGTCGGGTCACAAGTCGGTTCAATTGTCCCAAGTCAGGAGTTAAGGGTGATTTAGTGAGTGGGAAGAAGGACTGGTTGAGTAGGACCGGGTTAGAAGGAAAAGGACTCGGTGAGTCCAGTCAAATGGACATTGACTTTGACCAAGGAGTTGACATGGGGCCAAGGGAGGGTCAGTCTTTTGACCTAAGGGTATTTATGGGTGTCTAACCTATGTTTATGTTTTATAGCTGGAGGATTTGCGATCCAGCAGTCAGACACTCAGCAAGCAGACTTCAGCAGCTACCTTCGAGGTGAGTTACCTTCCAGTAGCGGCGGGTCTAAGGCCACAATGCCGACCCACTAGTAGGAGATGTATGATAAATGATTGCCTTTGTGATATCATCTAGGTTTGCTACTACCTGATATGTTATATGCTAGCATGATATGTTGTATGTGATAGTAGTAAAATTTGGTTGTTAGGACCGAAGGGTAGTCAGACACCCCAGACACGTCTGACAGTATGTGATTATATGTTTGCATGCTGGCTTGTTATGTTATATGCGATAGAGGTAGTAGGAGGGGACAAGTCCCCGAGTTCGGTTGATAGGACCGAAGGGTAGTTTAGACGCCACAGATATGTCTGATAATATGTTATGTTATGATATATGTGATAGTAGCAGTAGGGGTGAAATAGTCCCCAAGGTTCGGTCGTTAGGAGCGAAGGGTAGTCAGCACCCCAAAATGGCTTGACAAGGGTAGTCAGCACCCCAAAATGGCTTGACACGGGTAGGTCAGCACCCCAAAATGGTCGTACTGGGTAGGTCGGGCACCCCAGAAATGCCTGGCAATATGTATGATATGTGATTGTATGGTATGTGGTATGATGGGGGAACTCACTAAGCTTCGTGCTTATAGTTTTCAGTTATGGTTTCAGGTACCTCTTCTTCGAAGGGGAAGGAGCTGGCGCGGTAGCAGCACATCACACACACGCTTTGTATTCCGCAATATGAGATCTTCCTGGGGATTTGTACTCTGACTTTGTTATGTTTTTTACAAACTGGTTTCCAGACACTAACATCTTTTATGAAATGATATCATCGGTGAATGTTTTATTCTAACGTTTTGCTAAGAATGTGTATTGAAAAATGAAATTTTTGGCTCGTATTTTCAGGATGTTACACTATAACTATGAAATTCACACATGCATTTATACTTGATTTTCACATCATTTTTAGACATTTTATAGAAAATATCAGATTTTTTGGGTTTTTATGAAAGATACAAAGACTATGAACTCACCAACATTATATATGTTGACCGTTTTCAAAATAACTTGTATTCTCAGGTAATCGTTAAGCCGGAAGATTTGCAAGTGTGTATGGTTTCGTTGATGTAATAGCACTTATCGTACTTTTAACAATTTGAACTTATGTATTTTAACAATGTACTTAATGTGAACAATGCTAGTTGTATTATGTAATGTTGGTGATGATTGTGTTATGATTCATGTATATTCATTGTGATGATTATTCAGTCACACGAGCCCTCAAACGTTTCTGCCGTCTAGTTCGGGGGTGTGACAAACACGCTTCAAATCACACGCCAGTCTCACAGACACCTTCCAGCTCCGCAACTGAAACGGTGGTAACTTGCATAGCTAGTGTATGGCGTCCAACAGTTAATCCGCCTCAACAAGAAGCAATCGTAACCACAACTCCACAGATCATCGCAACACAACATACAAAGATACATGTTTCTCAGTAACTACCGTTTACACACAGTTCGTGCAAACCTCGATCAACCAAGGATCCAGCTCCTATGGACATGGAGTCCATTTCTCAGCAGCACCAAAACTCACCCCCTTCATGGCGATAGCTCAACCATTCAACTCGTCTACACAATAGTGCATAGGAGCAAGCCCATGCCTAGTTCACCCAATAGGGAAATACATATTTCAACAATTTGGTCACAGCCAAGCTTGTAACAATATCAGTCGTACATCTTTTCGACAGTCATGTACAACAAGATGTACGCGAACCCTACCAGGCGTAGCAACATATGGCCTATGGCAGTATATCTTACTCGTACATGGACAACCCCATGTGAAGTGCAAGATTTAATTTCAGCCATGAACTGCTACAATACGAGATTCCACACACTGCGATGATACCAAACATGCCGAAGTACGACGACACTACTGACCCGGATGACCACATCGACAACTATGAGTGGACGATGACATCTCTTAAGATGGATCGTCGCTTCACCTACACCTACTTTCCCTGCACCCTAACCGGAAACGCAGGCAAGTGGTTCAAGTCTCTGAGGCCAGGAAGTATTTCAAATTTTGAGCAATTGAACTACCTTTTCCTCAACAACTTTATGCAGTTGAGGTGGGCAAAGGGGATGCCAACTCTATAATGGCATATAAGAAAAAAGAAGGAAATTCAATCCGTGACTACTACGATTGATTCACGGTAGCTACCCTGAACGTCCTAGGACATGAAGAGTTCCTGGTGACGGGCGCCTTTGCCCAAGGTCTTCTTCCAGGGCCCCTATCTAAGAAGATGCAAGGGACAGTCCTCAGATCCAAGGACGTGCTCAAGTTCCGAGTGGAAAAATACCAAAGGCAAATTGAAGGAGAAGAGCAAAAAGAGACCAATCTCAAAGTCGTAGCTAACACGTACATCAAATAGGAGGAGGCGGCATCCCGGTCAAGTTCAACTCGGCAGGAGAGGCAAGAGGGTAACCAACAGAAACACAATCGCCACTCCAGACACACGTCGAGGAGGTATAGGTCGTTCAACAAATATGACAACAGGAATGGTCATGCAGATGTCCATGCAATCAACAAAACTCCATCAAAGGAGAAAAAGGACAAGAACAAGTTCTACGAATATCACAAGAGTAAAACTCCTGATACCACCAAGTGCACGGTGTTGAAAAGGGAGATAGGTGAGAAGTAGTTGGTTGGAAACATAATTGACATCGCAGAAAACCCATCGCCAAGAACATCACCAATATCACCAAGAAGATTGGGCACGGACACCATGTTTTGCATCTTACGACGATGGAGGCTCACGTCATCAGATTCGATCTCTTCTTCTGATGACAGCACCATGCGCACACTTCGTTTTTTCCGGATAGGAGTAGTACCTTTTCCTGCTTGACCCATCACATGAATATCGGCAAAAGCAGAGGTCGGAAAACATCCTGGGAAAATGGCCCCAACAACCGGTTGAGAAGACGAGGCAGGTCCGCTAGAACCTTTTGGATAAGGTGTCTAATTCCATAACTATATTTGAGGTGTACTTGACCCAAACCGGCATGGTCCATTTGGGTTGCACTTCACCTAAAAAAATTATATGGATAATATTTAGAGAATAGTAGAAGTTATCATTTATTAATAAATTATAAGTTCTAATATATTAATAAGAAATCATATTATTTAATTAGTATTGATCTAAAATTAATTTAGAATTAATTTAGTGATAAAAAGTGTGACTAATTAAATATGGACTCTTGTATTTATATAGTGTGGGCTAATGCTTATTTAGAATGGGCTAGGCTTGCATGGTAAGGCCATGGATAGTCCATGGAGCTTTAACCCATGGATCTCATGGAAATGAAAAGTCATGAGTATTAGGGTTTACATGGATGTAACCCTAATCCACCACACTATATAAAGGAGTCCTTGGAACTTGAAATGACACTAGTTTTTTGTGAGAACAAGGGTGGGCCGATTTCAAGAATTATACTATTCTCTCAAGTTTCCAAGGTTTGTGGTGATTTGTGACTTCCATTCGAGGCATCCACATTATTAGTCTTAGGCTCTCAAACTATAAGCAATCAACCACTATTAAAAGGTATGTAAATCTACTAGCTTATTAAGTTTCAAAGTTCCGCATGCCATGCTAGTTAGGTTAAGAACCTTGGAAAAGTAAATTTGCATGTATCATAGTAAAACATAGATCCAAGGTTTCTAGGGTTGCATGTACACCATAGGAGTGTTAGAATGTTAAAAACTCTACAGTGATATCAGAGCCTAGGCTTGTTTATTTGATACTTGATGAAAATTGTTGAACAAACTCAAGTTTTCTGCATTCTGCAGCATGAACTCACCGAGTCCATGGGGGGACTCGACGAGTCCATGAGTAAATTGATCCTACTCATTGAGTAGGTTCGTGCACTCGACAAGTAGGAGCCCCAGAATGTATATTTTCGAGTTTTGCTGCTGGAAATGTACTAGAAACATTACCCTAATCTGTTTTGGTGTTATAAAACTTGTTTTAGATGGTGTAATGGTTATGCTAATCCATTTTCAATAGCAATTATCAAAATTTCAAGTTTTATATGGTTATTTTATGATTCTTGAAATTATTGATATGCATGTTCATGAACTTATGAGTTTAGAAGATCCGAGGAATTATTTGTAACTTGCATGTTAGTTTAATTCTTGATCATTATGTGTTTTAATGGAATCTATAATTTGTCCTCAAGTTATGGATTTCCAAAATTTATCATTTTAAAGTCCATTTAAGAAACACATAGGTTACATAAAATGAAAAGTCTCTCATTTTATTAAACCATTAACTCATAAGTTATGAAAGATGAAAAGTTTTGAAAGTTACAAAACTTGCCCTCAAGTTTTGGAACATGTAAAATCACTTTAAAAAATTTAGTTCCAACCCTTATAATTTTAAAAGTTAGAATTCAACCCTTATACTTTATAATATTATAAGTTTAATAATAATTATATATGTATAAGAAAAAGTCGTTTTACCATTAGTAGGTCTCATTCACGAAGTCGGTCTATAAAGGGGGGGGGGGGTATAAGGTTGTTGCCTATAAAATAGCAGCTTAACGGGTTTCCACTTTCACTCACCGCTTCCTTGATCGGTGGAGGGTCGTTAGCCGAACGGGTAAGAGAAGGACTTTAAATTTTCATTCAAAGTATGATGAATATAAAGTAACTAAATGTTTTTTTTATAAAATTCCCAATCTTAGTTACTTTAGGGAAATGTGAACAAGGTGCTGACCCATGAAATTACACTTTGCACTTTGATTAAGTCGTTAGTGGGGCGTGTGTGGTTAACCGGCACACTAACCTGGACTTAACAAGGTAGGAAAAGGGTGACTTAAGGTTTATCATAGGTCGGTGGAGTGTGTATGGTTAACCGACACATCGATTGAGTGATAAACATTAAGGGTACCAAGTAATTTGCATGGTTACTTCACACCTTGTTTTGTGATCCTCGGCATCTCAGTCACAAAACCTGAAGGGCACACTCGAGATTGAAACATGCCATTGAAAAGTTCCACGAATTTAAAATAATATAGGAGTTTCAAAACCAATTAAAACCTAATAATTTATTTCGTTTTTCATGGTGATTCTAAATTAATTTTAGATCAATACTAATTAAATAATATGATTTCTTATTAATATATTAGAAATTATAATTTATTAATAAATAATAACTTCTACAATTCTCTAAATATTATCCATATAAATTGTTTGGGTGAAGTGCAACCCAAATGGACCATGCTGGGTCGGGTCAAGTACATCTCAAATATAGTTATGGACTTAGACACCTTATCCAAAAGGTTCCAGAGGACCTGCCTCGTCTTCTCAACCGGTTGTTGGGGCCATTTTCCCAGGATGTTTTCCGACCTCTGCTTTTGCCGATATTCATGTGATGGGTCAAGCAGGAAAAGGTATATATTGTGTTGGGTCCTAGCCTTAATATTACATTTGGGTGTTTTATTAAGGATTATCCTTATATCTAATCTAAACTTGACTGTCTTCTTTTTAGATGACTTCGAACAATGTTGCTTCTGGCTTAATCCCTATTGGCTCCTTCTCTCTCATGAACCTTTGTGGGAGAGTCATCTTTGATGGATCCAACTTTATGGATTGGATCAGGAACATCAAGGTGGCCACTCGGTATGAGGACAAGGAATATGTCCTCGACAAGGAGCTTAAGGAACTTGAGTCGTCTACTACTCCTAAGGAGATCGCTCAATATCAGGCACATGAAAGAGATGCTACCAAAGTGGCATGTATCATGTTGGCCACAATGATATTCGAGCTCCAAAAGTCCTATGAGGACTACTACCCTTTTGAGATGCACCAGGATTTGATGGACCGCTACCATCAGAGTGCTCGTCAAGAGCAGTATGAAATAATCTCCTCGATGATAACAACCCAGATGAAGGATGGTGAACCCATCACGGGCCACATGCAGAAAATTTAAAGGTATGTGGACCGTTTGCTAAAACTGAATGTGAATTTCCCATAGGAGTTGGCAATTAACATCATTTTGCACTCCTTACCTCCGTGTTATGATCAATTACGCATGACATACCACATGAAAAATGAGGAAGTTACACTTAGCAAACTTCAATGACTCTTGAAGACCGCAGAAACTGGTCTTAAGAGTAAATCGGTTGTTACCACTCCTACTCCTACCGCAGCCCCTGTCTTGGCAATCGGGAAAGACGAAGGAAAGAAGAGGAAGAGCCCTTCGAAGGGCACCAAGGGGAAGACCCTTGATGGCTCCTGTTCAAGTGGAACCAAGAAAGGATTCATCACTCCTTCTGCTAACCCTAAAGAGGCAGAATGCTTCTATTGCCATGAAGAGTTGCACTGGAAGCGAAACTGCCTAAAGTACCAGCAAGATGTGAAGGATGGGAAAGTAAAACCCAACCATGCAGGTACATATACTATATTGTCTAATAATTCGCCCCATTCTATATTGTCTAATAATTCCCATATGTACTGATTTGTAGGGACTAAGAAGAAGTGAGAATGTGGAGCATGGGAAGATAAACTTGATCATGGGGAATATGAAAACTTCACCTGTCACCAAGATTGGATTTTATTCTTTGTTGCTAAGTAGTGGATTAGTGTTAGATTTGAATAAGTGTTGTTACTCATCCAAAATGGCGAGAAATATTATTTCCTTTCATGGTTTGTACAAACAAGGTTTTACCTTCTCATTTAATAATGATAGTGATGGTGTATCTGAAACTGTGTCGGTTGTTGATAACCTAGGAAATAATGTATTGCAAATCGATTCTTCCACTAGTTTGGATAAAGCATCATTATGGCATTGTCATCTTGGACATGTAAGCAAGAAACGCATAGGCCAACTCCAAAAGGATGGAGTCTTGGAGTCGTTTGAACTAAAGTCATATAATAGTTGTGAATCTTTTTTTCTTAGGAAAATAACAAAGTTACCCTTTACTAGTACTTGTGCTAGGGGTGAGGGTTTGTTGGACCTCATACATACTGATGTGTGTGGACCCTTCAGAACCGCCACAAGAGATGCTAACTGATTCTATGTGACTTTTACTGATGATTTTAGTATATATGGATATGTCTACTTAATCAAGCATAAGCCAGACATCTTTGAAAGATTCAAAGAGTTCAAGCAGAAAGTGGAGAATCAGTTGGGTAGGAACATTAAGATGCTTCGATCCGATAGAGGTGGTGAGTATCTTAGTACAGAGTTCCTTGACTATCTTAAGGAATGTGGGATTATCTCACAATAGACACCTCCCATGAGACCACATCTTAATGATGTGGGTGAGAGGCGCAATCGAACCTTGTTAGATATGGTTCGTTCATGATGAGTCGAGCTTCGCTACCAATCTCATTTTGGGGGTATGCCTTAGAGACTACCGCCCATATCCTTAATCTAGTCCCTACAAAGAAGGTTGCCAAAACACCTCTTGAAATGTGGACCGAAAAAGTTCCCAATCTGGACCACATCAAGATTTGGGGTTGAGAAGCTTTTGTAAGGCATGAGTCTCACGATAAGCTCGATCCTCGAAGTGAGAGGTGTATTTTCATCAGCTACCTACAGAGATCCTTTGGATACCTCTTCTATAGACCTAGTAATAATGTGGTCTTTGTAGCAAGGAGATGAGTCTTTCACGAGAGAGAATTTATGATCCAAGGAAACAGTGGGAGGTAAATTGACCTTGAAGAAATTCAAGAGTCAAGTGGTGAAGGAACCTCAAACCCTAGAAATGAACTTGAGGAGGAAACTCCTGTTGATCCGACAGAAGAGTTTGTACCTCTGAGGCGTTCCACGACAGTTAGGAATGCACCTGAGCATTACTATGGTTTCCATATTACTGTGGAAGGTGATACACTTATCAGTGACAGCACACTGGTAAGTTTGGATGAACCTAACAGCTATACATAAACCATGGCAGGCCCTGAGGCTGCCAAATGGAAAGAGGCTATGGACAGCGAGATACAAACCATGTATGACAATAAAGTTTGGAACTTGGTTGACAATGTACCAGGTCGCAAGACAGTCGGGTGCAAATGGATCTTCAAGAAAAAGACCGACATGGATGGTAATGTACACACTTATAAGGCACGACTGGTTGCAAAGGGCTTTTCTCAAACTCTAGGAGTTGATTATGATGAGACCTTTTCACCAGTAGCGAAGATTAAGTCTATTAGGGTTATGTTAGCCATTGCTGCATTTCATGATTATGAAATACGGAAAATGGATGTCAAAACCGCTTTCCTTAATGGAAAGTTGGCTGAGGATGTTTACATGAGTCAGCCAGAGGATTTTGTCAGTACAGAGTACCCTAATAGAGTGTATAAGCTTGAGAAAACCATCTATGGATTAAATCAAGCACCTCGCAGATGGAATCTTTGCTTCGATGAGAAGGTCAAAGAGTTTAGCTTTTTGAAAAGTGAAGATGAATCTTGTGTATATGTCAAGGCTAGTGGGAGTATAGTCACCTTTTTGGTATTGTATGTGGATGACATACTACTCATAGGAAATGACATCCCAACTTTGTAGGAAGTAAAATCTTGGCTTGGGAAGTGTTTCGCTATGAAGGACCTTGGAGAAGCTGCCTATATCCTAGGGATAAGGATTCTGAGAAACATGAGTAAAAGACTAATTAGACTTAGTCAAAGCACCTATGTGGATAAAGTGTTAAAAAGGTTCAACATGCAGAACTCCAAGAAAGGTGAGTTAACGATCCAGAGTAACTCCATACTGAGTAAGAATCAGAGCCTGAGTACATACGCTGAGATAGTAGAGATGAGTCGAGTTCCATATGCTTCCGCTGTAGGATCAATCATGTATGCTATGACTTGTACTCGTCCTGATATGGCCTTTTCACTGAGCATGGTCAGCAGATATCAGGGGAATCCTGGCAAGGATCACTAGACTACGGTAAAGAACATTCTCAAGTACCTGCAGAGGACTAAGGACTCGTTCCTTACCCTCGGTGGGAGTGATGACTTGAGAGTAGTATGGTATAGTGTAACGCCCGAAGATCCGGGCTAGTTAATTTAGATATAATAGGGTCGAAAACGACTTTTTGAGAAAAGATTATTTAGAATAAATAATTGTAACGACCCATTTTTCACGTCCAAAAATTTCATTTTTCAATCAATATTTAGTAAAATCATTTGCAAATAAACATTGTCTGATCAAACCATTTCATAAACATTTACTATATCTGAAAACCAAAACATGTAATCAATCAAATGTTAGAGTATAAATCCTAAAACAATCCCATAAATGCGGAAAACAGTGTGTGTGTGTGTGTGTGTGTGTGTGTATGATGTGTTGCTACCGCGCCAGCTCCTTCCCCTTCGACGAAGAGGTACTTGAAACCAAAACTGTAAATTGTAAGCACAAAGCTAAGTGAGTTCCCCCATCGTACCACATACCATAAAATCATATCACATACATACTGCCAGGCATTTTTGGGGTGCCTGACCTACCCGGTACGGCCATTCTGGGTGCCGTCCTTCCCGTGTCAAGCCATTCTGGGGTGTTGACCTACCCATGTCGAGCTATTCTGGGGTGCTGGCTACCCTTCGGTCCAAACAACCGAACCTCGAGGACTAATCCACTCTTACCACCTCTATCGCATATAACATAATAGGCTAGCATGCAAAATATCATCACATACTGTCAGACGTATCTGGGTTGTCTGACTACCCTTCGATCCTAACAACCGAACTCTATTACTATCACATACAACATATCATGCTAGCATATAACATATCAGGTAGTAGCAAACCTAGATGATATCACAAAGACAATCATCTATCATACGTCTCCTACTGGTGGGCCAACATTGTGGCCTTAGACCCACCTCTACTGGAAGGTAACTCACCTCGTAGTAGCTGTTGAACTGTGCGGGAATCCTTTGACTGTTGCCGCTGCTGCTGCTCCGAAAATCCTCTGGCTATAATTCCCACAAAACGATCAGTCAAACACTGCTAGTTGTACTTAGGGTAAAATGACCATTTTACCCTTGATCAGGTCAAAGTCCAAGTCAAAGTCAACTTCCAGTTGATCCGACTCGCCGAGTTGGCTTGCCAAATCGTCGAGTCCTTACCCATTCGATTATCCTTAATCCCGTCTCTACTTGTCGAGTTAGGCATTGACTCGACGAGTTCTCTTTCTAAACTGATGCCCAAAAGTCCTTCATCCTACTCACCAAGTTGCATGAACAACTCGTCGAGTTCATCTTCATCTGATGAACACTCTAAGCTGCAACTCGCCGAGTTGTATGAACAATTCGCCGAGTCTATTCTTAAGGTAAGAAGATTGCCTTGGACTTGCCGAGTCAGGGAATTGACTCGCCGAGTCCCTCGATGGATGAGTTCGGCTTCCGACTCATTGAGTCCACCCATGAC